GGAAAGGGACCACGTTACATGGCACCTAAAATGGCAGTGCAGCAATCACCAGTCTGACTGCTCCTGCTGTGAGGTATTTCAGCAGTGCTTTGCCATTCCATACTGGGTAGTTCTGCAGTTTTAAACTTAGAAGTTTTTTTTTAAAAAAATCACCACAAGCCATGACTTAAAAAAAGACGAGAGGACAGCAAGGAAAATACTGGGCTGTAATGGTTTGGCTGTCATGTTGCCTGTATAATTATTGATAGCATGTGAAGGAAAGGTGGAAACTAGGGAAATAATTGCTGTTCTGGAAATCTGTTAACATTTTTCTCAAAACAAGTAATAAAATCTGTGTTCAGCCTACTTATTTCTGAAACAAAATATATATAAAAGGGTTGTTCCAAACCATAGCATAACATTGTTGAAGATACTAATATCACATTGTTGAAGATATTAATATCATATTTTTCTGAGGTGGCTGTCAGTTATTGTGTAATGTGGGACCCAGGTATGCTGTGCGAATGGAGAACTTTTTTTTTTTAAACAACATGGTACAAAAGGCTTTGAATAATGGCTTATACATTGGTTTGAAATATTGAACATAACAATGGGCAAAACAGTGGAGGTCTTTTCGGTTTTGTACGATTCTCTGCAAAAATCATAGCAGAATAAAGTAAACTGAAATGTAATTGAATGCAATAAAAAGTAATTGCTTTCTTTCCCACTTGTATGGAAGGACGTCGAGTGGATATTTGTGTGGCTGAATTAAAATTTGCCAGAGTTATTAAAAAGCTGTTAAAATGAAATGTTTTTTTAAGATACTTAGTTTTGTGTGAATTACAGTGCAATCCTATGCAGAGTTATTCTCATCTATGCCCATTGATTGCAGTGGGTTTAGATGGGAATATCTCTGCATAGAACTGTGCTCTTAAACTGTGTGAATTACTACCTGGAAGACTATATAGAAGGTAATTGAATATTTTGTGTTGGCAGTTAGACTTATAATCCCTGTTTAATCACCACCTTGTGGTGGCTGTTGAAACGTCAAGTAAGTTTGGCTTGCCTGTAAATCACAGTAGCTAGCCATGTTGAGTCGAAATCACTGCAGGATATACATTATTTCTAATTAGACCAACTTGTTAAAATGCTATAGTCAGATTTCTAAACTGCACATCTCTATATCATATACTTAAGTGGAATGCACAAGATTTAAAGGTTTGGTATCTTGGCATCTGTGAACTGTATAAGTGATCCAGTTAAAATAAACAGTAGACACTTTTAGAAGCAATAATCAAGATTTCAGATTTGATAGAACAGGATACTTGTTGATTGCAGTGGGTTTAGATGGGAATGGATATACTAAATTCATACCCTCTGAAGGGAAAAGAAAATACTGTAGTATAAGAAAATATTGTAGTATTTGTTTGTTAACAATGCAGGCTTTTTCCTATACCTGTTTGTGCCTTTCCTAACCTGCGGAATATATATTTTTTGAGCTTCTAGGATCGTAGTTTTAAATAGTTTCCAAGCTTCCCCAATGGTTTTGACCCTTTCTACTTTTCCTTTCAGTTTCCTCCCCACATGTCCCCTCATATCAGAGAAATTACCCCTTTTAAAGTTAAAAGTGGTTGTGTGAGTCTTTTTGGCCAATTCCCTATTTATACAAATGTTGAACTCAACAACATTATGATCACTGTTCCCAAGCGGTGCAATCACTTTTACATCTCTCACCAGGTCTTGAATGTTTGTTGTTGTTGTTCAGTCGCACAGTCGAGTCCGACTCTTCGTGACCCCATGGACCAGATCCCGCCAGGCCCTCCTGTCTTCCGCTGTCCTCTGAAGTTTGCTCAATTTCATGTTCGTTGCATCTATGACACTGTCTAACCATCTCATCCTTTGCCGTCTCCGTCTTCTTTGACCTTCAATCTTTCCCAGCATCAGGGTCTTCTTCAGTGATTGCTCTCTTCTCATTTGGTGGCCAAAGTATTTGAGCTTCAGTTTCATTATCTGGCCTTCCAGGGAACAGTCAGGGTTGATTTCTTTTAGGATTGACTGATTTGATCTTCTTGCAGTCCAAGGGACTCTCAAGAGTCTTCTCCAGCACCATCGCCACGACAAGGCAGTGATCCATGAGGGGGGTCTTGAGTGTGACTTAGGACCAAATCAAGGATCGCCTCTCCCCTGGTAGGTTCCGTGACCATCTGCTCCATAGCACAGTCATTTAGAATGTCTAGAAACTCAATCTCTTTTTCCCTACGAGAACACATATTGACCCAATCAATGTGTGGGTAGTTAAAATACCCATGTAGTTTGACCTTCAGGTGAGCTGGAGAGACCACCTGGTGTGTCATGGGCCTCTTAAGGACTACAGTGTATTTTATTTTATTTTTAGTTAGTTTGCTGTGTCTCTTGCCTCATTTTAAATGCATGCATTGACTTGCCAAGGAAGCACAAGCTGGGTTTGCTGATATCTCAAGTGTTGTTCATATAAGTTTGCTCCAGGGCTGATGTATCAGGAAAATTTGGTACAATTGGAAGAAGAGGAATTATTTTCTGAAGCTATAAACCTGGTTTATAAGGGTGGCTCTAGTTCTGATGCAGAGGATTATGAACACAACATAGGGCTGCCAAGTGGGGGCAGGGGGCGGGGAAACCCCTCTTTGGAGGCCCGATTTCCGCCACGGCGGAATTGGGCCCTGGGGGGAACTCCACCCCCAAAGCTACGTCACCGGAGGGGATGCAGCCCAGTCGCTCACGTTGGGGGCGTGGGCCAGATTGTCGGGGGGGGAACCATATGGTTTTCCCCTCGACGATCTGGGCCACGCCCCCAACGTGAGTGACGTCGCACATCACTTCCGTTGACGTGCTGGCGGCGCACACGCACGCACATCCGGAGCCGGCTCCCAGAGCGATTGGAGCCTCCCCTGCCGGTGAGTTTGCAGGAGTTGGCAACCCTAACACAACAACATGTTGCATGCCAGCTGCAGTGGCTGTGGGGTTGAACAGTCCAGATACCAGCTTTCCTCTTCTGTTGATCATTTGTTTTGCATGGCCCAGAGAAAGTACCTCTGAGAACTAATCCTCCAGTACATCTCTTGATCAAAGTGATTATGCGGATATACTATAAAACAGGCAGCGCTTAGAGCTCACTAGCAGAGCATGTGCTTTGCATGCAGTGTCAGTATAATACTTTCAAATAATAATACTTTCAATTTATTGATCGCTTTTTCCCACTCATGTGGGCTCAGAGTGTTTTACAATACCAGTATCTTGTATCTCCCATTTTAACAGGTCATGTAATGAGGCTGGGAAAAACATTGTACCTGACGTGCTGGATGACCACTACTAGTCTGTACTAGATAATACTAGAATAGATAACCCATTGTCTGAGTCAGTATAAGGCAGGTTCATTTACTTTTATTTATTATCCTCGTCGCCCAAGGTCACTTACAGGCAACGATCCAAACTTTTACAAATTAAAACCCAGTTTGAGGGTTGTGATTGATTGCATTGTTTTTATTGTGTAATATTGCATTCTTTTTATTGAATGCTGTGAGTGGGATATAAATAAAGTAAACAAATAAAATAATAAAATATGAACTCCAAATATCTCCCTCTTCTTCTGCAAGATGTCTGCCCCATTAAAAGCCCTAGTAAGCAAAAAGGTGTTGCAGTGTCTCTTCAGGGAGCTCAGTTGATGCTGGGTGGGCCTTAGTGGGGGAACAGTCAGCAGGTGGCAGCTTGAGGGCTGTAGTTGGCACGTGGAAACATATGGGAGAACATGGTTGTTCAGATACACAGGTCTCAGGCTCTTAGCAGTCTTGGAAAAGTTATGTTTGTTTTAGTTGCTTATTGTTAAGTGTGGTCTTGGAAATAAACTTTGATATGATGGGGGGGGGAGGACACTTCCAAGCAATTCGTATCTTAAACCAAGTAAAACTACTGTATACAAATTAAATATGCCCAAAACAGGCTGCATTACTGATATTTTGTGACAAGAAATCCAGAATGACAAGATGGTGATTAAAATAAAACACAAGGCCAGTGGCACATTAAAGACTAACATTTATTTCAATGTGAGCTTTTGAGAGTCATAGCGCACTTCTTCATGTATCTGAGCTGTGATTTATGACCACTCATATTGAAATAAAGTTTGCTGGTCTTTCATGAGTGACTGGACTTTTTTTTTTTGCTACAACAAACTAGATAATCATCTCATTTGCACCAATTTTCCTTCATATTTTATTTCCAGAAAATTGTTCGAGGGGGCCAGAGTCCTCAGTACAAAGAGAAACGTTTCAAAGAGATCCGCACTGATACTCCAGGTCCTGGAACCTATTACCAGCCTCCTTCAGTGGGTGTGGAAATCCAAAATAAGATGAAGCAGTCATCTAAAATTCCTGAGGGTCAGGTATGTCTGCATAAAGATTGTACCTGTTATAGATTTGCAACAGATAATATTATTCTTTTGCGTAGACTGTGAAAATCATACCAAATCTGTTTACTTGTAGTTATAAGTGTTTGGATGACAGTACTACAGTATGAGCACATGTATACCTGGAAATGGAGACATATGTGTAATATTTCTGTGACCAGCCTTTTGGGTTCCTTGCTACTATCCCTTTCCTTTTGTCGTCTTTGAGCCTGCTCCTTAGAGAGGGTGGTTAGCACTCGAGTCCCAGCTACCATGGTTGCATATGTTTCTGGCCTATTCATTAGGTTTCAGTTCTTAATATGACTCCATAACCCCTGAGCTTTGTAAAGGAACTGTGGCTCAGTGGAATAGCCTCTGTTTTGCATGCAAGTCCTAGGTTCAGTCACCAGCATCTTCAGTTAAAAGGACCAGGCAGTAGGTGATGTGAAAGACTTCTAACTGAGACCCTGGAGAACTGCTGCCAGTCGGAATAGACAGTACTGTTCTTGATGGGCCGATGGTCTGATTCAATATAAGGCAACTCCATATGTGTTCATGTGTGTGTGACCTATGAGTGAGAATGGGAAGAATAAACAGGTTCAACTCCGTAGAGTTTTGACTAAGAACAAAAACATACTTATTCTTCCATGCTAAAGCTCCAGAATGAAATAGCTTCTGTGTTTAAGTAAAGAGACAATAATAAACACAAGTATGCACTTGGTAGATTGAGATCTTCAGGCACAGGAGAGGGGGTAGAGGTCTAGGGCAACACATGGGCTTTGTGCTCTCGGACTACATCCTATGTGTCTAACGTCAAGAGAAGACTTGTGAACCCAGCAACCATTTCTGAAAACTTCCCTTATACTTAACTTTGTTCTGAGATAGTGGCATGTATTTTGTTTTGTGTAGTACCATAGACTACGGTAGACTAGAGATCTCTTCAAGAAAATTGGAGAAATTAAGGGAATGTTTTGTGCAAAGCTGGTCATGATAAAGGACAAAAACGTTAGGGACCTAACAGAAGCAGAAGAGATTAGGAAGAGGTGGCAAGAATACACAGAAGAACTATACAAGAAGGATCTCAGTGTCCCTGACAACCACGATGGTGTGATTGCTGACCTCGAGCCAGACATCCTGGAGTGCAAAGTCAAATGGGCCTTAGAAAACATTACTAACAACAAAGCTAGCAGAGACGACGGTATCCCAGCTCAGCTATTCAAAGTCCTAAAAGATGATGCTTTTTAAAAAATACTTGCCCAAATGAGCAAAGTTTATTAGGTTTTTTAAAGATTACACAAAACAAAACAAAAAAGAGCAGTACATTTTTAAAATATCTAGACATTGTCTTGCTCACAACATCTTTAGATACATAGTTCCCTTTTCCTCCTTGTTTAACTTTATATTCCACAACAAATATCATTAATCAAAATTCTATTCCCAATATATAGTTCATTTTTCTATATCCTATCTGCTATATTTCATTTTATCTATACTACACTATTATTAATCAGTTTTATAATCATAAAAATAGGAAGGGAAAGAAGCAGGTGTTTCAACAGTTTAATAGTTCTAATTTGGGCACATATTTCTTATATAATAACAGTTTGGTCCCTTTAAGATATTCCTTCACCTGTTTAGCTTTCAAAATCCCATATACTTGCAAACTTAAGCATGATATTTTATATTT